GGATGGATTACCGAAAGCCGAAAGCGCTTAGGGGAATTATTCAGATTAGATTCCTCTTTTTATTCTATTTGATTAGTTATTTTTGCATAGCGCATCTATGAAGTAAGTGATTGCCAATAATAGATTTAAGAAAACAAGAACAATAATATGTTTTTGAATTGTGTAGTGTATACCAGTATCTTAAAAAATGTTATGTAGAAAATATCTTAGTGGATCTGCTAAACGTAAAGTAGGAATCAGTTTTAGCCTTATTACGCATTTACTGTGTATGATCATATATATATAAGAACTTTGGTATTAACAACTCAATTTACAATAACTTTCTTAAGTTTCTTCTTTTAAAAATAAGCGCATTAATATATAATAGGTACCTATATAGAGGCCATAAAATACTATTCCTTTTTTAAAAATAAACTTTATGAAAAATGAAAAAGAATTCCCGTATGCTCATAAAATATAAAAAATTCGAGAACTACTCCAATTTTGAAAATTGCTAAACAATACTCGTATTAATGAGAGATATTGATGTTTTTAGCCTTATTTTAAGCTTTATGCCTTATTTTAAGCAACATTTTTGAATAATATATAGTGTGTTCCGAAACTATTATCACACTATTATGCCAAAATGTAAGGATTGGTAGATCTCGCCAAAATATTTTGAAATTGGATACTAATGGTCGGAAGAGCGTCGTTTTCAAAATAGAAGGTGTTAAACTTTTAAGAAAAAATCTATACAGGGTGGTCCACCGAAAACTTTCCACCCCAGGTTTCTTGCTTGTAAATAAATAATTCGAAAAATGCTCGGACACGTCGATTTTGTTTTTCAGGGAGAATTATTTTTTTGGTATTTGCACCCTCTTTGCTTGCATCCCTTTGACGGAGTAGCTATCACCCTTAAAATTTTAAATGGAATAGGGGGTCGAGTGATACCTTGTTTTAAAGGTCTTTTGAGTCTTTTTATATCTGTAGAGTTTGAAGTCTCTATTGCAATTCGCGTTGTCTATTGCAATGTACGCCACTACTTTTTAAATAAAATTAATATTATTTTTAAATCCCCATTCAATTTACAACATATTTTATTTCTTGACTTTTTGTGTCCGACGCACCGTTTTCGCGTAAAAAAATAAAAACCATTTTCATGCATGACCAAATCGCTAAAATGTTATCATAAATTTTAATGGCAAAATTTGTAAAACGGCAAATTTAAGTTTAAAAAGATTTTTTATTTTCCAAAAACTTCTTTCTATGAACATAGTACGAACTAAAATGCCCAAAAACCTAAATTGTCGTTTTTCAAGTTTTACCATTAAAATTTACATTACCATTTTAGCGATTTGGCCATGTATGAAAATGCCGAAAATGGTTTTTATTTTTTTAAGCGAAAACGGTGCAATAATATTCAATTCAATAATATTTTGTTTAAGTACCGTAGGGTGGTATACAGTGGTGTAATAGATATTAAAAAAGATCGATTTTTTTTCTTAAAAGTTTAACACCCTGTATTTTGAAAACGACGCATTTCCGACCATCAGTTTTGGCGAGATCTACTCTACCTTTAGATTTTGTTACAATAGTTTCGTATATTCTTCTTATATTATTAATTTATTTTCAGAAAATCTTGTTTATTTTTCAAAGAAATATACTTGGCAACAGACAAAATGGGACTTGATGGGACCTTTAAATTTTAATATATCTGCGTCTCTCTTGCGAAATTCGACTTCTTTGTTCACTGTCGTCTCTTGTCTTATCTACTCTTTGCCGCAGCCCTGAAAATATTTGCACTAATTTAAGACTCACCCTATATATGATTAATAGTAGATACCAAATGGTAATTCACAATTCAAAAGAGTAACAAAGTAGGTAGATATTAAATGTTACTCAAAGCAAAACAACTGTTTTCAATACGTTTACTAATTTGCTATTCTTGTTGAAATGCGTTAGTGATAAAAATCAATAACATCATAAATTTTGTGTGTATAGTACTAATAGTTAATGTAATAAATAACCTCGGCAATAACATTAGTTTTATAGCCTGTTCTGCTTAATTATTGATCTTTATTATACTTCTTCACTTGAAGTTATATTATTACACAGCTATAGGGTTCTGACAAGGTGTCTGTTGATAATGAAACGTTTACCTGCCAGCAATTGAGTTTTTTCATTAAGGTTAATAGGTAGTACCCTCGTCGGTATCTTTTGACACCTCGTCTTTTGATCTCTATTGTAGTTGGCTCTATATTGGAATGGGCAGTTATTTTTTTTTATAAACAGCGTAATAAATAAACCATTTTTTACAAAAGTATGTGATGGTGGCAGTTTTTTTATACTAATTTTAGTATACCGGGTATATATATTTTAGTATAATTTTAGTATGCCCCTATAAATTTTTTATTTTTTCAGTTTTTTTTTTAATTTGGTGTCTTATAGTATAGTATGACATAAATTAGGATTGAGTGACGTATTCAATTTTTTTTGTCACTTCCTGTTTCGCCGGAAATGATTACAGCTTTTGATTTTTAAATGGCACCCACGGTATTTTTTTATTTGATTCGATAGAAAATGACACTCTCACATGTCAACTTTAACGTGTACCTAGGTATAAGCGAAATCGCGTATAAATGTGCAGCTTAAAACGAGGGATTCCTCTATTTGAAAAATTAACAGGACTACACTCTCTGATTAAATCAATATTTGAAAATAAATTGGAATTTGACCCGGTATGGGTATTTAATTTCAAACGTTAAACTGGTTTTACACTTAGATCAAAAAAATACTTGATAACATTTATTTCTATATTTGTATTTGTCAAATTCGTTTGATCAAACATCTTATACAATCTATTTGGCAGTGTAAAGTGCTGATTTGCTGTCAAATAAGTTCAAGATCGTTTTTTAAGTTTATTTGAACTTTGTTACTATTTTGATCAAACTTATATCATGCTCCATGTAAATAAGTACCTATTTTATTGATTGGAATTTTTAAAAGCCGAATGCTGGTCTGTTAAATATATTATAATGTTATATTTTATAAATATAGGTGCACTGGGCTAACTATCTCCAGAAGTTAAGCGACGGGTACAAATTTGGACGGGTGGACGACTGAACAACTTCGTAGTACGAAGGTAATACCTGTGGTAATACTGTTGTTAAAAGGTACATAAATACGGGTGAATCTAATGAGACGCATTGTTCATTCATGCTGATATTCCCCGATATACGTATCTGAAGCTTTTATCACAGATATCATAGTACATACGTTATCTGTACCTTTATCACAGTTCTAAATTCAATTCGAAATTACTGGTTTTCAAAAATATTGCTTACTTCTAAAAACCGATATCTTAGAAATTAACAGAATGATATAAAATGTTTCTATCCAGTCTAAGTATAAAAGTTGTCAAATATTTTTGATAACAAAACGAATCATTAATTTTACACTACTATTCTTTTTAAATAAAAGAAATTGGCGCCGGGAGGTACGTATAGCCCATACTAAAATATGTTAATAAAAAGTTGGTAGGCAGTTCTTTTAGTTTCAATTATCTCAAAAAGTGCGACTTTGACTGATTTTGATGTTATTACAAATTTTGTTGCAAATATTATTCCTAATCTTAAATTGAAAACCGCGTTTCGCTAGCTACTGTAATTTTGGAGTTACGATTTTTTAAAATTTTTAACCCCCTCCCCTACCCCCTTACCAACCCCCCACCCCCACCAAAAACTAATGGCCAGATTCTCGGGTGCCACAGTACTTTTCTGCCAAATTTGGTTAAAATCGGTTTAGCGGTTTTTGAGTTAGTGTGTTACAGACACCATGAAAATAGTTTGTATTTAGGTCATTTATGACCCAAATACCTAACTCATTTTGGTGAAATTAAAAAAACTTTTTTTTTGCCGATCTTAATAGCCTACCATACCTGTTGGTATGGTCGGCTAAATCTTTACAAGCCACATAAAGATGCAAAAAACAATACTACATAACAAATAGATCATACTTCAACATGATACTTCAGCATGATGAAAGTATAAAAGTTGTCAAATATATTTGACAACAAAAGTAATTATTTTACAAAATCATTTTTAAATAAATTGTAGAAAGATATTTAATCAAACTAATTTTGCGAGTAATTTTGTTTGATCAAATATTTTATTTTTTTATTTGATCAAATATTTGTTTAGAGTCTCCAAAACAAATATAAACATGCGAGAAAACAATACAACCATCAGGAGTTTCCAAAACTGCTACTATTGTGTACAACCGTGACACTTAATCATGATGTAAGTATAAAAGTTGTCAAATATATTTGACAACAAAACTGACCAAACTAATTTGTCCAGTATACAGGGTGTTCCTTAATGACATGCTAATATTTAAGGGCGTGGACCTATTCTGTCCTAAACATCTTAATTTCTGAGATACAGGGTGGTAACTTTCTCTAAAAAAACTTTATTTCATAATAACTCTGATTTAATTACAGATATCTTTATGAGACTTGATAAACGTCTTTTTAATGAACAAAGAATTTTATTTATTTCAACCAGTGCCGTCCATACGGGTTTTACATTGAATATTTTTGGAGAAAAAAGTGGTACACCACTGACTTTTCTTAAAATAAAAATTATTTTCAAAATCTCCATTCATTTCTAAACATTTTTTGTCTCTTGATTTTTTTCGTCCGATGCACAGTTTTTGCTTAAAAAATTAAAGTCAGTCGGTGACTGTGGTGTGGAAAGCATTTCTGCATCGGCTGGAAGGAAATTAAGAAATAAAACAATTTTTTTTGTATATCAAAATAAACACTTTGATGCATGGAAGACATGTTTCAAATATACCATCATATCTAAAAAGTTAAGATGTTTAAGACATTTTTTTTCTTAGAATACGTCCAAGATCACCTCCTTAAATATTAGCATGTCCTTAAGGAACACCCTGTATAACGCTGATTGGAGTCACAACATAAACATGCGAAAAACAATACAGCACAAGCTATGAAAACTAACCGGCACGGGACACTTGTTGCCCGCGGCCACGGCCGCGCCTCCTTGCGCCCCCTCCTCGCTCGGGTCCACGAAATTCTCGGGCCGTGGCAGGGGCCACGTGTTGGACCTGGCCCTCGTTTGGGGCTCGAATCCCCCGTCCCCCACCTCCGCCAGCGGCTCCATGATGTTCAGGTTCATCTTGTTCATCAGCGGACTGTAGTCCGAGTACGGCCCGTTCATATATACTCGCTCTCTAGGACGTATATACGGGAAAATGTAAATATACGCGCGAAAAATCACTGTAAAAACGCACTAGTCGGCATTACGAGGCCCGGGCTCCACATTGTAAAGGGCTTGTGTATAGGGGATGTATATCGATATGTTTTGATGTATATTCGCACAGAATCACACGCGGAACTCGGTTCAGGACTCCATTTCGCGTTGCGAAGCGCGATAATGACGCAGCGGTACGGCGAGCGCGCGCGAAATAATAAATATACAGCGGGCGCCGAAACGTATCAAAACTGCGACGTATTTTCTCGGGCGACGACGACGTTTCCCGCGTATACAATCGTGCTCAGTGTTCGGATGGCGAACTGGCCGATGCCGCGTTCGCACCAGGAATGCGAACCGGAGCGGAGACGCAGATCGGCGGCGGCAGGAGCGTTGGCGGGCCGGAGAGGCGCGTGCGCCGCCACTGGCGCCACGGCGGCAGAGGCGGCGGCGCGCGCGGGGGCCGGGGCGGCGGTGGTTGCGTAATCGCGAAACGCGGACCGCGGAACGGTAAAAGATTCGTAAGAGGCGAGGAGAGAGAGGAGGAAGGTGGACCGCAATGACTTTCCTGCGGGAGTCTCGTCGTTTTTAGGGTTTGGATCTTAATTCTCAGTGCTAATTTCTGCATAGGTTTATAATTTGTCCAAAGGGAAAATCCTTAACAGTGACAGTTGTGTCTGTCAAAAAATTGTGTTGGTTTGGTTAGCATTCGATAATAATCTACATATACAGGGTGTCCCAGAAATAAGTGCAAGTATTTTAACTGGTAGTATAGTTTAACCCCCCAGAAATACGCCTATGACGGTTATTTTTCGCAAAAAAATTCGGAATTTTTTGAAAAATTTTTTGGAATTTTTTTTAGTTTTTAGTTATAAAACATAATTTCTTGATAATATAGCAACATAGGTTGTAGATTAAATTTACAAGAAAGAAAACCCAGAAAATATTCAGTGGTTCAAAATTTTAGCAAAAAATCTTTTTTTTTTGGAAGTTTTCAAAGTAAAATAACTCCGTTATTTTGGACTTATTTGGAAAACGATAAAGACAAAATATGTCTACCACCCCTTAAAATACTTGCACCTATTTCTGGGACACCCTGTATAGAAGCCTCCACAAACACAAAATCATAAAAATGTCTCTGCAGAAATGCATCATTCTCTTTATCCCACTTTAGAATAACTGAAATCAGTTACATGAAAATGTGTTCCTATTTTACGTTCTAAACACTTTTCTTGTGTTGGTATGAACTTAATTTAGTATACTGTAATTTAGACATCAATACCGTTCCGAGAAAAAACGAAAATAAACAAAAATGAACCTAAAAACCAAACCAAAACAAAACAAACCTATCCAAAGCAATCAAAACACGCTGTAAGCTAAAACGCGTCTATTTACGAATTCCATTTGCCGAGTACTTTTCAAATCTTGCTATATTTTATCAATAAATGAAAATGGTACACTTCCGCCCAAGAAGTTTTTTTGCGTGTCTATGTTTAGAAAAATTTCTAGAATGAATAACAGAAATGTATTGTCATGTAACTGGTTTCAGCTATTCTAAAGTTAAAAAACTGAAAATTAATAAAATATAAGTAAAATATAATAAAATAAAAAAATATTTTTGGGGGTACTAAAAATTCTTTTGGAAATTTGGAATTTCTTGGTAATTTTTTTAGTTTTTAGTTAAAAAAATCATAATTTGTTAATAATATTGCAACATAGGTAGTAAATTAAATTTACAAGAAAGAAAATCCAAAAAAGATCCAGCGGTTCTCAAAATTTTAGCAAAAACATTTTTTTTTTTTGAAAATTTGAAAGTAAAATAACTCGGTTATTTTGGATTTATTTCAAAAACGGTAAAGTAGAGAAAATATGTTTCTTTTATCGAGATCTACCAGCTCTAAAAATATTTGCATTTATTTAAGACTCACCCTGTATAGATATATCACAAGTCACAAACTCATCTTCCCAACCATTATTTTTATCTGCTTTTTTGACTATGATATTTTATGACAACTAGGACTACTTCTACTGATGTTAGTTCAGTTTGCAGGTTCTCTTGTACCTCAAATCAGCATTTGTGTTCATCATCATCATCATCATCATCATCATCATTATTTATCATTATCATCATCATCTTTTTCATTTATAATAACGTTCCTTCTATTAATCCTGTACTTTTCTAAATCGTATATACTACTACTACTGGCATTACTCGCTGACGAGTATTTGACACGCATCAGAAGATGGTTACGCAAGGCGTTTTCATTCATGAGCTTTTTCTGTGACTAAAAAGCCCGACACTTGATGTTATCCCTCTCCCGCACTCCGGACTTAATTACGGACAGAATTTAGGAGTTGGTACTCGGTACTTTTTATACGACTTTCCCCTAATCGACAATTTTTACTTTATTTGAAACGTTAAATATGAACACAGAATATTTTACAGTGAATTTAAACAAATTATTCTGAATAAGTATTTTTTATTTATGAGAATAGAATAATAAAAGATATAAATAAAACTCCAAGTGCACGCCATGCTCGACTAGCATTCAAGAATGCTTATTAATTTGCATATAATACCTAAGATTATGCCATACGATCGAAAAAAACGGCGTCAGAGATGGCTTGGAAATATGAATATTGCAGGTCAATTTCAATCGCAGGTCAGTACAATTATATGGGAAATGTCATCATTCGCGTTATTTTCGAACCAAAAAAAGGCAGAAATCCCATTTTACCTGTTATAAATAAATAGGAAACACACAACTGTCATACTGTTGGATAGTCTCTGCTTATCATGTTCCTATCATTATTACTATTACACATTATTTATAATAGATTCTTTATCATTCGCATTATTTGATATATTTGATTCTTTACATTTACAGATTGTTTTTATGCATATATGTGGTTAGATATGTAAATTATAAACTCAATTTTGGAAATTTACTTTGAGATTTATTTTTGGAATATATAGTTGATTGCAACGCGCTTCTGGAATAATGCGATGCAGATTTAATAATAAATTGCCGAATTGTTATCTAACCTTTTCCTCTGAGAGTGTTGATTAATAAACGATCTAAAAATGATTAATCTATATGCAATGGAATAAAACCCAGAAAAATACTGCACGAATTCATCGAACTGAAATTCGATATACAATTAAATGCATTCCAGAAATGTTTTTACAATTATTCTAATAAACCTCTCTATTATTTTTAGGCACCTATATGTTATTTTAACTTATTATTGTATCTTTACAAAACTACCATACGATCGAGAAAAAAAAACAGCATCAGAGAGATAGCTTGGAAAATTGGAAAAATAGATCGCTGTCAATTTATATTTCAAATTATATGGGGAACGTCATCGATGGACGTTTCCAAGCTACCTGGACGCCGTTTTGTTTCAATCATACGATATAAATTATATATTTGTTTACAAATAAAACAGTTTGACTATTTTTGACTAGTAATTAGGCATTATAAAATTTTTAAATATTTCTATTTTATTTGTAAAAGCACAGGTAAAAGCAACAACGAACAGTTACTAAAAGTTCTTTAATTTAAAATAAGATATTTCACGAAATTCAGAGCTTTTATATTATTGACAATTAAAATTTACGTTTCAATTACGTCAATCAATTGCATTAATTTGTTATTTATTCATTTAAAATACATAGTTTTAAGATTTTTAGCGATTCAACAAGTTCCTTTGTAATTTGAATTTTTAAGTTGAAAATTTATGCAAAAGATGGCTCTTATTTAAAATAAAGATTTCTACTAACAATAAATATATAGAAATCTGTATTTTGAGTTGAAAACTGCAAAATAACAGTTAACTGTAAAACTTGATATGTTGCTTTCGTTAACGACAGATGACGCCAAAACTTTTACTTGTCATAAATTTGCCTAGATGGCGCCGATTTAGACAATCCAAAACTAAAGATTTCTGTTTTTATTACCATTGCTGGCACAGAGGTTGGTCATGTTTCAAATCGTAAATATAACAAAGAAGAAGAACGTTACTTTAATTCTGTGGTTTCGGTTCTTTTAAGACCTGAAAAACGAAAAAGAAGAAGGGTGCAGGTGGCGCCAATGTGGAAAAAGTGTGAAAATTTGGAACTAGTGTGTTTCCAAGGTTGTCAAGATATTAGCGAAATCCTGAAACTAATATAAATCAATATTTTTGTCTAAAAGATTCAGTCTATTTTAAGTCTAAAATGAATTTAATCGTTGCAAAATAATGATAAATCTAATAGGCACAGAATATAAACATTATTTCGGTAGAATAAGTAACATTTCTTTAGACACAGCTTTTTTGCTATGCACAAAAAATTGTTATTTTATTTTACATTTGCTCAATCTGACAACGTTGACAGTGCAACATTTTCTGTTTACATATTTATGTCCCTCTTACAATTTTTCTTATTTTTTGGTAGAAAAAGTGATTTTTCTGTACACTATTTGAGTGTATTCTGTTCCTTAAAGCTTGCTTAATGTACTGGAAATGTAAGTGCCCATTATTTTGCATGTTTTCTATAGTTTTTCTCACTTTTAAGTATTTCAATTACATCATCGTTAAAAGCTGATATATTTTTCTTATTTTCATAATTTTCTTTTTGAAAATTGAGTGTATGGAAATACAGATACATTCTTTGATGTCTCTATTGTATATTAAAAATAAAGTTACTTAGAATAATGCGTTATAATTAGAGATATTTGGTATTTTTTGATTCATTATTTTTGGTTGAGTTTGATTATTTCTTTTAACTCCTGAAGGAATTTAGACAAACAAGTATTTTCTACGTCTTTTAGAATGAGTCGGTGTTAATATACCTAAAGGGGGTCTATATTCTCAATTATTATTTAAACTATTAGATAAATGAACTACTTTTACACAAGTTCACTACTGTCGTGATATTTAAGTAAACAATTTCGCATTGTTTAATATAAGAGGTTTTAATAATTATATTTCTCTTTTTTAGGAGCGTTATTAATAATACACACCAGCACACAAAGACCACCTAAAAGAGGAGACCTGGGTCATCTCTTGTATAATCCTGATGTTTGGCCATCATTCTGGTTTACGAGTTGGTCTTCGATTATTTGATTAACAGTAAGTTTAATTTCTTATTTCAAAATAATTTTAATAAATTTTTTGATGTTTATTAACACTCTAACCAAATTTTTAAGATATATTTTACTCCATAATATGAAAGAAAAAACTAATAAACACAACTATAGCATAATTAATGTAATGTAATATTATTTATTTCTTTTTTTACAGATTTTAGACAACAAATCAATGGATGTATACAGTTCCAGGGCAGTATATTTATCCTTTTCGTGAATATTACCAACAATGGCATCAGGACTTAGAAGTATATCTAAAATACTTCTTTTGGGTAAATATATTTTGAGTGGTTTTTAATAATCGTCAGTGGATTCCATCATTTTTAAATTTAATTAAGTATGAAAAAAATTGCAATGAGTCTCTGAGGTAAATTATATTAAAAAGTGTTTTTTAAGTCGGATAGTAGTTAAAAATCTAATATTATTGTCTTTTGTAAAATATGAAAATATAAATGATAAATTTCAAATTTAAATCTTTTGCTGCACTAATTACTTTTGAATAGGCAACTAGAAATACGTTAAAAATTACATTATTTTTAATTTGAGGTAACTGTAAATACATTAACATGTATATAGAGTGGCCTAAACTAAGTAATTAAAATATTACTCGATTTCTATAATATATACAACTATGTTTTTTTCTTATATTACTATTAAAAAAAGTTCTTTACATTACTTTACGTACTTTATGCAATCGGTGCTTGTTAGTGATCAAGTATTTAATTGTTTTTTATACTTTTTTTTACAGAATCAAGACTTTTGAGAAGGGTAGTTAGAAGATTTATTTAGTTCCACACAGACATTAGCATGTCCGCCAACAACTTGGATTTTAATATATTTATTTATAACTATTGTTAATAAAATGTAATACTATATGATCGAAAAACAAACAGCGTCCAGTTAGCTGGGAAATGACGATTGACGACATTTTCCATATAAATTTACATATAAAATGACAGGTATCTTTATTTCATAGCCATCGCTGACGCTGTTTTTTTTCGATCATACGGTATATTAATAACAGAGCGCTTTTAGATGGAGCGGAGCATCCGCGCGGATTGTCCGCGTGTTTAACATACGCAACCCATGTGAAATTGTTCATATAAACTCATGGTACTTGCTCGAAGTCGCGGATGGTCCGCTCCATCTGAAAGCGCTGTAAATGAAAATGTTCATCAATGATAACAAAAAAAAATAGATGTATTTTACCTTTAGATATTTTTTAGATAATAAGTTCAAAATATTCTTTATTATTTGGAAAAAATCTTAGCGTAAGAATATGTTTAGTCTATTTCTTTTTATCAGATAAAAAAATAAAATATGTAAACCTCTACTGCCGTGTTAACGAATATTGTCTAATCTGATGTGTTGAACAAGTTCATATCTTTTTCGTTTATGCATATTTCTAAATAATGTACTTTATATCGTATGATCGAAAAAAAACGGCGTCAGTGATGGCTATGAAATGAAGATCGCTATCATTTTATATGTAAATTTATATGGGAAATATCATCGATCGTCATTTCCCAGCCAACTGGACGCCGTTTTTTTCGATCATATGGTATAATAATACCGTCAGATTACTTAGTTGGAAAATGCGTTAATATTTATAACACCCGTTTATCTCAAATGTAGCTAAGGCTTTTTTATTAATACGGCAGTATATTATAACATAACTGTGTAACATTATATGATATGATCGAAAAAAAACGGCGTCAGCAATGGCTATAAAATGAAGATCGCTGTCATTTTATATGTAAATTTATATGGGAAATGTCAGTGATCTTCATTTTCCAGCCAACTGGACGCCGTTTTTTTTCGATCATACGATACTAGTGTTAAGAAATTCATATAGCTTTATAAATGTTATGGATAAATTTTTTTAGGATTAAGATATATAGTTTTATAACCTATTATTGTGTCGTGTAATTGGGATAAAATTTAAATAAAAGCATTAGAATTTATTATTAAATGACAATGACAATTTGAAAACGAACAGTATTATGACAGTATTTAATATTGCCTCTACCGATGATAGTATGCAAATTTGGCGAAACACGACAATTTACATATCAAGGGGGACAATTTTTGAGGCATTTGTTGTCGTGTTACTTTCAACCCCTTGACCACTAGGGCACCTACCACCTACTCCTAAAATTTTAAATAGCAACCCCTATTTCTTTTACCATTTTTGTGTTTCTTATAGAATTCTACATAAACTGCATTATTTTTTTGAGAAATAAAGGACACAAAAATGGTAAAAGAAATAGTCATTAAAAATTTTAGGGGTAGGTGCCCTAGGGGTCAAAGGGTTGAAAGTAACACGACAACAAATGCCTCAAAAATTGTCCCCCTTGATATGTAAATTGACGTGTTTCGCCAAATTTTCATACTGTCGTCGGTAGAGGCAATATTAAATACTGTTCGTTTTCAAATTGTCACCCTGTATAGCAATTATTTACCCTCTGCTGATGGTAACATTTTTAATTTATGTAGAAATATTTAACATGAATGTACATACTCATGTGAACATACTGCTCAAATATTTTTTAATAAATATTTTATAATATTACACCTGTGTTTTACTCCTAGCAAAATTCCTTTACTATAGCTATTAAAAGAAAAAAAATAAACTCTTAGAGCACTTACTAAATATAACAAAAAAAATAAAATTGCAACCCAAAATTATACATAATGACAAAACTAAAAATTTAATCGCTATATTATAATAAACGAAAAATATTTCTGTTCAAAAAAGAAATTCTGAAATTTTTGATGACATTAATGAAGACTCTAAAAATATAGTGCCAATATAAAATACCTACATGTTAAGAAATATGATGGTCTGAAAAATATATTTCATTTCTGTTAAAAATTAAATTATTGATGACAAAAATGCACAAGATTTGCTTGCTCCGTGCGAAATTTTTCAACGCCTCGAACAAATTTTTAACACTGCAGAGAAACGCTGAATTTTGTCGACTCTAACACTTTGACCTCGTTTTCGAAATTAAAACGCTAATAACTCCGTAACTAAAAGAGCTATCGGGGCGCGCTTAGCGCCAATCGATAGAGAATCCAACCCTCTATCTGTACACAAAATTACAACCCCCTACGACACCCTTTATTTTTTGGGCCAAAAATTTTCTAAGGTTTGTAGAATATCGTATGTACCATACGATAGACTATAAATGAGTTTAAATCTTCATAAATTAATATGCTAATATTAAAAGCAACTAGATTAATAATTTATTGAATTTCTATTTTTATATATTTTAATTTTTTGTATCTTGTGGCAATCAATAATAAGCTAATATTTAATGTTTTTTAGTTGTGTTGCCTTATTTAGTTGTGTTGCCTTATTTAAAGACTATTCAAGGTTTCAAAAGAAACTATATACTTTAAAATTTTAAAACGATTTATTAAAAAAATATTATTTTACAAATACAATTCCCACAATTAATTACAGAAATAGAAGAAGTCCTTGAAGATTGATTGTTGATTCTTCTATTGAATTTTTCTTCTGATGTATACTGGATGTTCACATTTTCCGTAACTCGTCCTCGCATTTCTGAAAAAAAATAAAAAATAAATTTATACAGGGTGATCCAGAGTTGCAAACTCTTGTTTTTTTTTGAAATTTTCACTCAAATAATTTTTACAATATACAGGGTGGTCTGAATTCAATTCGGGAATCCTCGGTAGGATATTCTGCAGATAACAATAAGTAAAAAAGTTCGTGTAAATTTATGTTATAAAATTCTTCGTTTCGGAGATACAGTATGTAGAATTTTTACTTTTACTTTGATTTTTCCCAAATAATTTTTGAACTAAGGTCGATATTGGGATGAAAATTTGCGTCTGGGTGTTTTTTGACATAAACAATTTTATATCAGTGTCAGTATGACTCATACTTGTAGGGGGCGCCACCTACATGGTTTCTAACTGTTTTGAAGAGTAGGTAATAACTTTTCGTCTGTACCTGTATAAAGCTACTGTTATAAGTTATAAGCCAACTTTTTTACTTAAAAAATGACTGAAAGGTATATTTTTTATTCCCAGTAGTTTTATACAGGTACAGATGAAAAGTCATTACTCTTCAAAACAGTTAAGACACGTGTAGGTTACGTCCCTTACAAGTAGAGGTCATATTGACATCAAAATCAAATTTATCATGTCAAAGAACACCCAAATTATTTATAGAAAACAGAAACTTCTACACCCTGTATCTCCGAAAAGAAGCATTTTAGGACATAAATTTATATAAACTTTTTTACTTATTTTTATCTGCAGAATATGCTGCCGAAGTTTCCCGAATACAATTCTTAGTACTTATAACAATTATTATACTAAAATCTAACAAAAAATATTTATACAGTAAAGGAACATAAAGATATGTGTGTTTTATTGCATATTATCTATTTCGCTTATGTCTCTTTACTATTAACTTTACAGAAAATTGAAACAAATCAAAAAACACTCTGAAGCAATGGGGATAAAATAGTTTACCTTTACACTGCATCTCTTCATAACAATAATACAATTCTAACAGTGTAGAACAACCATCGGGAGGTACAGCATAGAGTCCATGAATTTGAATGTTCGAAAGGATAATTTTCTGAAGAGCTATTTGGAGGATTGACGGCAACAATTCAGAGGCAACAATGCAATCCTTGAGAATCATCTCAAGGATTGCAATCTTGTTGCTCCAGCTTTATTCTTCTTTGGCACATACTTCCAATGAAAAGCAGAGTACAATCGGTGAGGTTTTCTTATGAGATTCTAAGCAACTATACATCTTCCCAACAGAAAATCACATCTTTCCATTTTTCTTGGTGTATTCTCCTTTCTTATCTTCATAAGAAGCTCTTATCACTGTATTATTACATATCTGTATCTGTAATAAAAAATGTTAAGTTTTTATACTCATTATCTTCACAGATTACACTTAAAAATACGAAAATTAGGTATAAAATTTGTTATATAGATCGTACATTTTAATTTAACCAATGGATTTGTTATTAACTAAAAATGAACTAATTTATTTTACTTTTAAACAAAAAAAAACACGGAAAAAACATGTTAAAAAATGGTATTTTCTAGGGTTAGAATCAAAATTAGTGTAAAATTTTATTCATAGATGGCTCTCACTCAACACTTTTTCGGACCTAAAAATTATAGATTTCTTTAAAATTCCAAGAAAATTTTGGCCGAAGTTCAGCTATTCAACGTTAGATAACACTGGATGTTTTTTTTTAAAATAGAAATCTATAAATGACTAGTTTGTATATTTAACCCGTGATGGCGCCACCCACACATAGTAAAAGCAGAAATCTATATATGCATACTTTTAGAACATTCCATATGGTGGCGCCATAATCGTTTAAATAATAGTTCCAAAGATTCTCACTAAATAAGAATGGCGCTGTAATCGATACTGACATCTGACATCTAACAATGTCAATATTTTTAAGAATTTTATTATTGCCAAAAATAACTCTCTAGGAAAAGTAATATTTGTAATTTTATAGTTATCTATTAATTAAATGGAAAACGAAATATAAGTTTTTCGAAAACCGAGTTTATACTGCTTAACACGATGGAATCTGACAAGGACAACACTTTCAATTCGTTTTACACAGAGGTACGTTGTTGCTGTTTTTGAAATATATCGAATAACAATTTCACTGGTATCAATAATTATTCTAGGTGAAAGAAATCGAAAAAAGAGATTCAGTATTAACTCCGAAGCAACAAATAGAAAGACTGTTAAGGCCGGGTGCTACATATCGAAATTTAAACCCCTTTGATGTTTTACAAGTGGAACCTGATACGTCCCTTGAAGAAATCAAGAAAAAATACCGCAGATTGTCAATTTTAGGTAAAACCAGTGAATATATTTTAATTGTTTGTATACTACTAATGAATCTATTACAGTTCATCCTGATAAGAATCAAGACGACCCAGATAGGGCACAACAGGCCTTTGAAGCTGTAAACAAAGCTTGGAAATCTCTAGAAAATGAGGAGACTCGTAAAAAATGTATGGATATCATAGAAGAGGCTGAAGGCAGAACGGATCTGATGGTATGTACTTGATATATGTTTCTAATAAGTATTTTTACAAGAAGGGTGGTTGTCTTAGCTGGCCGAGAAACGAAAAAAGGCCAAAAAAGATGGCAAAGATAAGATTCCGGAGGACGATCCAGAACAACGCAAACATGCGGTCTATGTTTTGACAATGAAACTATTTGCAGATTTAGAGAGAAAAAGGAGAGACCTGGCCGAACGGGACCAGGAAGAGAGGAAAAGGAAGAGAGAGCAGGAAATTGACGAGGAGGAGAAGGCAAAGGCGCAGAAAGAGTGGCAAAAGAATTTTGAGGTTAGTTATATTGGCAGAGTTGTTTTTAAACTTATCTCTTCAAATCCCCTTACACATAATTTTCTATCCTTCACAACCTTAATTTTCCCCAAATTTAGGGAAAATTATATAACTATAGTTAAAAGTGGCTCTGTTAATTTTCGCGAAGTTAAAAGGTTATTTTTTGCAGGAATCAAGGCAAAATAGAGTCAATAGTTGGCAAAACTTCCAAGCTCAGGGTAAATCGAAAACGAAAAAGCTGAAATCGTTCAAACCGCCGAAAAATAAACCAGAATCAAGGTAAACTAACTTAGAAAAAATGTAAGACTGTTATGTTTCTTTCTTTGCATAGGTCAACGTCAATTTAAAATACATAATGTATTATTTTATGCTTCGATATTTAGCTGTAAATGGTCTTGAACTACTTGTATATAGTTATAAGGGAAATAATTTTCTGCAACAGTATCAATTTATTTTGTTTGAATTGTAAAAAAATTAAGTGAAATTTGGGCTGAATTTATTTTATTAATTTCTAACCAAGTGATAAAATTATCAGAAATTTATTATGTCCATATTCTTTATTTACTAATTTAAATAAACGCATATATTAATTTCTGGTTAGCAGAAAGTTTATTTATATTTACTATTTAGTTTTAGGTTTAGGCAATAAAGATGTGTTTTTGTGCAATCATCTTTTTATTGGTTTAAAAATAAAAACACAGTTTTTTATTTGTAATAAAAACCATTTAATATTTTACTCTTATTTGAATGTCTACTTTGTATTTCAATATTTTCAGGGAAGGGACATAAAATTGGGGGTAACGCTAGCCAATAGGCAAGAGTTATGCGCATGGCTACCTAATAAAGACACAGTGTTTTATTTGTAGTAAAAACCATTTAATATTTTACTCTTATAAGAAAATATATGCATTGTAACATTAGAATATTTTACAATTAAAAACAACTCTCTTAAATCTACTAGTGGAAGGGGAGACACCATCTTAACATTAACATTAAATCATTAATAAAAAATAATAATAAAACTGACAATATTAATGGAAACGGGATCATTTAAAAACAACAAACGCCTACATTAAAAAAAATAGTACAAAAGTTTGACACATAATTATTGGAATGGGTTTTGAGTATTCACGTATATAATAACACAGCGAATGTCAACCATAGGCGGGTACAAAAATAAGTAGAATGCGAAATAACGCGAAATTTTTGGCACAATATTTGTGGAAGAACATGTTGGTTGGATAAATAAATTTAATATATGTAAAAATCTCTTTATAATAATAACAAATATGTCACACCCTGAATACAGAGTGTCATTCTGTGGCATTCTACTTATTTTCTGGGCCTGTTATGTGGATATGACGTATTGTATTGCAACAAGTGTTACCTGGGGGGGACTCCCTTATGAAGCGCGCGCGTCCAGGGTCGGCCTAAGGGGTAGGCAACCCTCCACCCAGAAATTGGGCCTTTCCAGCATGCTCTTCCACAGACTTACCTCTTTACCAGTGGCGTCCATCCATTCGACCGACTTGCCGTAGTGTTTTCCTGAAACGAGAAATAAGTGTTTAAATTCATTAATAATTTGAAAAAATATGCAGTTTTTTGTCTTCAATTGTTAGTTTGCTGTAAATTCTTTCCAACACATTTTTGCAGATGGTTAGGCAACCTTCAACTGGCTTTATAAAACTGTTATTATATTAAATAGTTTTTTTCTTTATTCTTTGTATTTTTTGGCTTCCGACGACGGAAAGAGAAACTTTCCGAAACGTTAAGCATTTTTTTGTTCTTTAGGCAAATTTGTATATCTGTAAACCTAACTTCTGACAAGTAATTCCCGTTTTGATTAACGCAGAAGTGTTTACAAAAAATAACTATTTTATTTTGTAGATTTTCTTGCAGTGGCGAAATACCCATATAGGGTTTTTTGGGAAACTGTTATTTTTTAAATATTTTATTAAAAACTGTTTAAAATATGTTGAAAACTCTGCTGCCCACAAAACATATTTGGTGTTTAGATGTTTTTTTAATAAATATGATGATCATATATAATTTAGATATAATGGTCATGAATAAATTATATATGATCGATGATTTATATTCATATGTAGTCATCATTCATATTCGTCATATATAATTAATACATAATATTTTTATATATGATGATCATATTATATAAATTATGTATATCATATCATGGTTAAAAAACTAAATTTCCAGTGAAATCTAAGTATTTTTTGTTCTTACCTGTTCCTAAAGAGAACCTAACCCCGCCTAGGAACTCATTGCTGGCCAGTCGATCGTGATCCCAAACGGTCAGCTCCAAGCAGCGTTCCGACAGTTCTTGGAGCGTAACATCATCATAGATGAAAGTATGATTCCACACTGGATTCACCGTTCTCCTTACCACTGGCGTCTTCTGTTTAGAACTGCGTCCTTTTTCAGGCAGGAGGTAACTGAAAAAAAAAACATATTTTTAGTTACAATCTCCGCAAAAACTGATTTATCTGGTACCTTTTGCAGAAGGGATCCGACGTCCCATTGGCTTTAACGGCAGTGAGGGCTTTGGCTTCTTTGATCAGCACGTGCAGCGCGCCTCTGGAGCGCTTGCCTTTCTTGTGAACGGTCATGTCTGGCGGCACGAACTTGAGACAGACGATGATGTCGCCTTTGAAGGACAGCACGTCATCAAAGGGCTCAGTCTGTAAAAGGAATGTTTTTCTTAGTAATCCCATGATGGCCATATACATATATATTATATATGATCATCATGCATACATTATATATGATCATCATACATGCATTATATATGACCATCATACATACATTTATATATGATCATCATACATAAATTATATACAGTCGTCATATATAAATTATATATGATCATCATACCTAATTTATATATGATGCCATAATATATAAATTAGGTATGATCATATATAAAAATATCATATATAATTATATATTATATACATATATATTATATATGATCATCATGCATACATTATATATGATCATCATACATGCATTATATATGACCATCATACATACATTTATATATGATCATCATACATAAATTATATACAGTCGTCATACATAAATTATATATGATCATCATACCTAATTTATATATGATGCCATAATATATAAATTAGGTATGATCATATATAAAAATATCATATATAATTTATATCAAAAAGGTAAGTCCAAGAGCTACTTACCCTCTCTTGTAAGTTATACCACCTGGGCGTGGGGTCGTCGAAGACTTTGTTCTCCAAAGCCATCATGACCTCGCCCAGGAAGTCGTTCCTGCCGAACATGTCTGAGTGCCAGACGGTCAGCCACAGCGTGCGTAGCTCCAGTTCGTTCAGGCTCATCTGGAACTTGAGACACTCGTCGAACACGGGGTTCAGGGTGTGCTTCTTCACTTTGGTCTTGCGCTTGCCCGATTTCGATTTGTCCGGTAACAAATACACCTGCAAAAAATGCAAATTAATGTTAAATATATACCTATTTCAACTTTTCATTGTTGATGGTAATCAATAAATTAAATTCTAGATTAATAATATCGTGTTTGTTGTGATATAAGCATTACAAAATTCAATGGATTCTCTAAATTGCTTAAGGTGTTCATGCAGTTCTGGATACACTGCACAAAGTACATAATTATAGTTATAAGACGTACCTTTACATATGGATCTGATCTATTCCGTTTACTATCCACCGGCGCCAGGTCTTTACACTGTTTGATCTGGATCTCCAGAGCTGAAGCTTTATAATTGTACTGCAGCCCAAACTCCACTTGTCCACGTACCGTTACCGATCCGTATCGACCTTCTCCGGCTCCAGAGTACACGCTGGCCATCGAATCGGACCTCAACTAAAAACGAAACATTAATTTTTCTCAAATCACAAAAGAATTTTCAAAATATATTTACCCCTAGGCTGGATAGACTGCTCCTGTTATGATGCATGGCAACCAATCGGTCGATATCGTCCTCGGGTCCCGGCCATTCCTGGCTGGACATCGAGTTGGTCTTCCTCCTGGACCCTGGAGCCACAGGGCTTGGCGTGGCGCTCTTGCTACCACCTCTACTGGACACGAGCATTGGTGACGAGTGAGCTTCGGACAGGCTGACATCGTCTGGAAAAAAATCAAAGTATATGGTTAAACTAATGTAATTATTAAAATATTAAAGAAAAATAGATGAGAGGTCTTTGTGGCATTGGTATCATACATTTATTTTATGTATTTAGATTTATTTAGGAAAACCGATCGCATAGAAGCGCTCCTTTAACCGCCTTCCGCTAATTATTTATACCGCGAAAAAAACTTTATTTAAAACTCTTCATTTTATGTTGCTGCAACACACGTGCTTTGATTCAGGCTTGATTAAGGTTTGCAGAGCTTCAGCATTTGCCATAAAATAGCGAGCAATTTTTTAAAAAACATATAAATTATCACTGTAATCACAAAACTTCATTCTATTTCCGTATTGTAACGAAATTTTAAATTATGTCTTTATTTTCGAGGAAATTTAGTCCAAACATAAGGAATATTTTGTTGATGTTTGACTATCAAAATCTTAAAAATAAAGAAGTTGTCTAAAAATCTGCTACAATACGGATATAGTATAGTTCTTTATATTTAATTTTCTTCTTCAGTGTAAAAATACCTAGCCAAACGCGTATTTTGCTATTTTTTCGGAGTAGTGAAGTGGACTATTAAGCTTTTTTTCCCACATACTATGTACTATCCATTTATTAAATAATAAATAACAATTAGAGATATCTTTATTAGTTTATTTCTTGTACTAATCGTTGTGATTGAAGTTTTTGAAATAAATATAAACTCAAAAAAAAAGGTTGACAAAATACAAAACTAATTTTCTACGTCTGGACATGTAAAAAATGTAGAAAATTAGTTGGTGTAGAAAATTAATTTTCTACGTGTAGAAAATACGGTAGAAAATATTACATTTTCTACCTATTCAACCTTGGCCACTGGACGACAATCTTGAGAACTGCCGTCAGTTTTCTAACCGGTCTTCCGTTTAACCTGACACGCAAAGCTGACAGGCAAAACGTTACATGTAGACAAGGCTTTAAATACAGAATTTGTATTTCTTCTTCGTTTACTTATTATGTTTGACGTCTATTTTATGCCGAGAGCTACACGAGAGTTATTATTCCTCCAAGGACAAAAGCAACGAGGGTTCGATGGCACGGAAGTACGGTGTCGTCGTACGATCTGGAGGCTTATTTAGCGTTAATTACGGGAAAATACAGGTAGATCTCCGTAGCGTGATTTATAGCGGAGCGCCCGACCACCAGAAACAATAATCTCGCTCTGACATCTACCGTAAATGCCCCGGTAATTGGAATAAGCCTAATGGAAACGTTTTCAATATTCTAGCTCGGAGACATGCAAACGCTTACATCCAGGTTAAATTATGGAAATTATGTGGAGGCAAAAGCAGAATTATTGGCGTCAGGTGTTGTTGCAGTGTCTAACTGAATCAAACAGATTTAAAAAAATTGGCGCCGGGAGGCACGTATGGCCGCCCATACTAAAATATATTAATAAAAAGTTAGTAGGCAGTTCTTTTAGTTTTTTTAAGTAAAGGAACTTTTCCAATCTCAAAAACTACGACTTTGATTGATTTTGATGTTATTACAAATTTTGTTGCAAATATTATTCCTAATCTTAAATTGAAAACCTCGTTTCGCTAGCTACTGTAATTTTGGAGTTACGATTTTTTAAAATATTTAACCCCCTCCCATACCCCCTTACTAACCTCCCACCCCCACCAAAAACTAATGGCCAGATTCTCGGGTGCCACAGTATTTTTGTGCCAAATTTGGTTAAAATCGGTTTAGCGGTTTTTGAGTTATCGTGTTACAGATGGACAGACAGGCAGACAGACACCATGAAAATATTTTGTATTTAGGTCATTTATGACCCAAATAACTAATTTTGAGTGAAATTAAAAAAACTTTTTTTTGCCGATCTTAATAGCCTACCATTAGTATGGTCGGTATACCTATTGGTATGGTCGGCTATGGTCGACCATCGGTATGATCGGCTAAAAATTGTCTCCGGGAGGCACGTACAGCCGCCCATATTAAAATATATTAATAAAAAGTTGGTAGGCAGTTATTTTAGTTTCAAAGTAAAGGAATTTTTCCAATTTTTTTTATCTCAAAAACTGCGACTTTGATTTTGATGTTATTACAAATTTTGTTGTAAATATTATTCCTAATCTTAAATTGAAAACCTCGTTTCGCTAGCTACTGTAATTTTGGAGTTACGATTTTTTAAAAATTTTAACCCCCTCCCATACCCCCTTACCAATCCCCCACCACCAAAAACTAATGGCCAGATCCTCAGGTGCAACAGTATTTTTGTGCCAAACATATTAACTTGATTTCATCAAGACCCAGACCTTTATAAAGCACCGAAATGATCAGATTTCTATCAACGAACAAGCGAACTATAGAATTTGTTCAAGTCTTTATAAAAAAACGTTTTTTTCTTCGAGCTTACCGGAAGTGTGCGATCGGCTTGCAACTATTTTGCATAACCGTAACCTCTTTGTTTGTGCTTTGTGCATGAAATCAACATTTACTCGACTTCCTGCCAAGCCACTGACGTAACACTATAATCCGAAATAAGTCGACCTTTGATTATTCATTCTTAATTGATATAATAATAAATATTAATGAGTAGGCCTGAGCTCTTTAATTATTTATCATAACTATAATTTTTTATTAATATATTATATTAATAACTTTTTACTATAGTATATAATTTTATAAGGAGCGATCAAGAGTCAATTCCTCAACTATTTCAATCATTTTTGATCGTTCTATACAGGATGGCTCGAATTCGACGCTCATCATTGGGATTTCGGAAACTGTAAGAGATACAGGATCGGTTAAATGGAGGCAAAGTTGCGCAATTTGATGCTCAATAAAATGCCGTATTGCATTTTGAAAACTACGTTATTTTATAACTATGTGTGGTTAAATACTGACTCTGACGTTTCCGCTTCTGGCGACTATCATCAACTTAATTTTTTTAAATACGGACCAGATTTTTTTTCAATTTAATTAAATCCTTTCGTCACTCTTAAAACACTATATATAGTCACTTTGATATTTGCCGACGTTTCGTACAGAAAATACCATCACCAGAATATTTTATACAAAAAAAAATTAAAAATAAAAATGCAATACGGCATTTTATTGAGCATCTAATTGCGCAACCATTTAACCGATCCTGTATCTCTTCCGGTTTCCGAAATCCCAACGATGAGCGTCGAGTTCGAGCCACCCTGTACTATATTACGCTTTCAATTTGATGTGAACTTTCTTTTATTAAGACTGTGATATTCATCTCAACAGCTACAATATCCTTAAAAGATATAAAAAAAGCAACTAGTTGAAAATTTCAAATTGTTCTCAAGGTTACGTTAAAACACTGTTTTTTTTTTGTTCTTTTACTACATGACCTAACAGTACGAATACGGACGTAATCAGGTACTTTCACTTCTTAAAATACGCGGTACTCGCGGTACTCCCCCCCCCCGCGTCGTAGATATTTTCCTAATTAAGGAATAAAACGACCGCAAAGTACGAATTGGCAACCTGCTTCTTTTTCGCGAACATTGGACGATCTAGGGATGTTGGAACAGTATCGATATTTTCGGGTTCGATACGTGATTTGGTATCGATTTTTACTCAATATGATATAGGCGATTTTGTTACTTTTTGAAACAAAAATTCTATAGGTAATTAATATTATATCTACCAAAAATACACTTACAATTCAATCAGCAATACAATTACACAGTACAATTCAATCAGCAATTGACACGAAAGAGAATTAAAAAATATTGACTCAAAACTGACAACTAAAGAGACAGATTTATTTATTTGTCAAATTACTTAGAAACCAACGCCAACCCAGCACAATATTTTTTCTACTCGTAATAAATTCCTTGAAATAATAATTTCGGAATATTTTTTAAAACGTAAGTCGCTATGGAAAAAAATATTAATTTATACACGACGATAAAATTGCATTATCGTCTCCCGAAATTAATATGTTCGGTCGACGATAAAATACCATTTTATCGTCTTGTATAAAAAATAACTATTTAAACATTATTTTAATTTCTAGTAAAAAAAGTCAGTGCCCTACGAAAAAAAAATCATTTACTTCAACACACACAATTTTCTAGTAAATATAACGGACCACAACTAAGACCTGGTTCACATTCTAGACGTGCACGTTTGCAAGGCAGTACGTTTTTCATCGGTACCTATTATTGTTGTTCCCAGTGCATACCTGTATTTTATGGCAAAGACAATAGCCATTTATTTCTCACGCGCCCAAACAGAAAAAATAAAGCCTGTTCTGTACTGTTATTATTAATATCGCGGTTGTTGGTACTATCGGTCGGGGTACCGACGCAGCTATGACGTAGAAATCTCCATTCTAATTCTTTGATTAATGGTACTGCCATGCGACCTCCCGTTTTGATTCTTATTTCGTTTTAGCAGTGGTTCTGACTTATAACTGCTCAGACTTTTTGAGCACTGTTGGCTATAAATTCAAAAAAATATCAGAATTATAGTAAAAAAACCCAAATATTTAATAGTATTTTTTTCAAAATATAATAAAAAAAAACAGGGTTTTAGCCACAGATTATACAGATTATAAACTTTGTTTTTTCTTTATAGTTTTTCGTGGTTCCAATTTTCGGAATCGGGCACTAATTAGGTTATTAGTTTGCGCACATAGCACGCCCACTTATGGCCTCTAAAATTGTGCACAGCGCCTGACCGGCACAGTTATTAGAGAGATATCGGAAAACCGAATAGCGTCATGCAGTATTTACGCGTACCTTATCATGGTTACGATATGCGCGAGTCAATTTTTAACGCAACACCCGCTAATAACGTTACCGCCTGACATAAAATACGGATCAATTACACCAAGCGCTATTTCTAAATAACGTTTAAAAATTCGGTGTCAGACAGACTTGCGGTGACTAGACTACAGGGTCCTATACCCAATATTGTTACCCGCCAAACCCTGAATCTGCCCTTACCACTTCCAAATAGCACATTGGTCAA